TTAATATCATGTTTTTAAATATGATGGTTTCATTCTAAACATGATGATTATCTCTAATATGGACACCCAACATAACATAAAATGTTTCCAACATTGATTATAAATCAGCATATTAGATTGATTTCTGAAGGAAGACTGGAGTAATAATGCTGAAAATTCAGATTTGTTTCACAGGAATAAATGACCTATTTTAAAGTATATTAAAATATAAAACTGTTATTTTAAATTGCAATAATATTTCATAAAATAACGTTTTTTCTGTATTTTTTATCAAATAAATGTAGCCTTGATGAAAGAAAACTTTTGATGTATGTGTGTAAGTTGTATAGGGTCTTTTATTTATTAAATTTAACACCCGCGCGTGAAGTTTAGTGAGCGACTTGGCCTGAAGGAAAAGCCATTTTCTGATCAAAACACTAACAAAGCACTACAGATACCATGCTGCCATGTTTTAGACATATACCTTCACTAGTATGTGTGTAAAAACCATGGTATCATTCTTGTTTGCTGTAAATCTAAGTATCATCTGATACATCAATGTACCATGGTACTGCCTTAGTAAGCTAGGCCTATTTTTCTGAAAGGTAGGGCTAATTCTGTGCTATGTGAATGATTCTTTGTAGGCCATATAGTTGCATTAATGTTACACTATGTACTCAGTTGACTCTCTATCAAACAGTGCGAGCTACACTTATGAATAGATTAATTATGGAATGTGAAGTATGCATACTTTTAAATATAATGCATAATGAATTTTAAAACTTGAAAGCAACAGAAGTACCCCCTCCTGTGCCACAGTAATTGCCATGACTTTTTGTCATGAATATGTTAATTTGGGCTTTTGTTTATGAAACATTCAACATCTAACAAATACTTTTGACTGTAGCAATCAGCCCTCCCATTGCAGTATGAAGAAATGTGTTGCGTATTGCTTGCATAAACAATTCTGTGTTCAGCACTGAAAGTTGCAGACACATAGTACATCAGAATTCTGACAATGCTGGCAACAGTATACCTGCATAGTGTTTAAATTAGTTTGTGAGGCAATGCATTCCCAAGTGTTGCATTTCAATCAGTATTTGTTTAACTTGCAGGAAAATATGCTATTTCACATTTGATTTACCATGCTGCAAGGTGAGTGTACAATTCATTCCATTATTTGAAGCCTATTAAAGATAGATTGTATGTTGTTATTTTTAATTGGACTCTGTTTCTGAAGGAAAATGGCTCATGCCAGCATTAAGTTAATAATAACCATTGCCCTCATGTTTTGATTTCCATCCCTGGCTTTTCATCTCCACATCCATTACAGCGATTCACAGCCCAACCGGAAAAGTAGATTGCGATAGGGATCTACAACAGTATAAATCTTTTTGCCCTTAAATGAAGACTTCCTGTAAAGTTGCCTGACACTACAAGCTCTCCATAAGAGATACAACTGTGTAAAACGACATAAGGAAATTGGATTTCAAATGAAGGTCTACAACTGTTTAAAACTCTTTCAAACTTTTAGTCCCTGGCTGTGCAGAGCATTAACAGGTTAAGGCTATGCTACTGAAGATTATGCCATCAAACACACATATTTTCACACACACAAAAAAAATTGCATTCCACTGTGCTGCTTTTTAATGTTTTTTTAATGTAAAATTGTACAAGTCAGACATCTTTGACAGTTGTGCCATGTCTTTTCCTTTCCCTTGTTCTTTTTTTTTTTTTGTGAACAGCCCCTAAGACTGCATTTAATTCTGATTTAGTCAAGTCACATTGCAACTTATGATGAGGCACACAAGAACCAATGTTACTTAATCAGCATTACTTACATTACTGTTTTGGGTTAACTTTGTGTTCCAAGAAATGAAGAAAGCTAAATGGATTTGGAACAACATGAAGGTGAGTAAATGAGAGCATTTTAATTTTTAGATGAACTATTCCTTTAAAAAAATATATATGCTTGAACATAGTTTGCTTACATCTAGCAGATACTTGGTTATTCTCTTTTATTGCAGGATTCACTCATTGCTGTTACACTTCCCATCAAGCGACCTAGGGTTAAGTGCTTTGCTCAAGGCTAAAACAGTGACGGGGCATCACAGCAATGCACCATTCCAATGGATCACCTCAACCCAGGATCAAACCTGTGACCTTTGTGCCACCCACTACTGCAGGCTGCATCCACCAAAACATATATTTTTAATAGGCATCTACGCAGTCTATGCCTGCGGCCCAAAGGTCTTAACTCCCTTCTCTCTGGTAGGGTGGATCTTCAAACAACCATCTGGTGCTCACACTACAAGGGGGAAAGATTATTCTCAATATGGGCAATTAGAGAAGTTGTTAGCTATGCAGTGCTGCTAGTGCAGACCACACACATAACAGGAAGCATCTTGCAGTGAACGCTCTAAAGGCGGGTGCAAACCGCAACATCACATATTCACCTCTGTATGTTTAGCTGAACATCTGTGCATTCTGAGGTTGTGTCTTCAGGGAAGAAATGGAAAAAAAACATGTATATTGGACCCTGTTTTTGAAGGTGTGATCTAGGCAGTTAAAACTGAACAAACTCTTTCCTTTCTACCTGACTGGAGTTACTCTAGCATTTGTTGTTCAAAAATTTGCGCGGAATATGTAGCGGCATTATCAAAAAGATATCTCATCTCTGGATGTACAAGCATTGCTATCTCTCTGTTGATGTTCTAGCAGCTATATTGTGGCTGCGGAGCCCCATAGCGACTTATCCTCAGAGAAAACCAACCTCCCCTGAGGAAGGAGAAATGAAACCATTGTGGTAATCTCTTTATTGTAGTTAAGGGAGGAAGTGGCATAGACATGTCTGTGGGCTGTTGTGTGAGCAGTCAAAGAGGATGTTGATAGAGAAATCCTGTTATTCATAAACTTACACAAACATGCACTTTCAGTCACTGTTTGTTCTCAATGCCAAGGCTTTACCTGTTTACCAAAAGTTGGAATAATTAGATATTTTCAATTGAGGTCTCAAAACAGTGGCATAAACTGTTGAAAAAGAAAAGAACGTTTCAGTTTGTGATGCAGTACAATAGATCCAATGAATATATGCAAGAGAAGAAGGTCAAGGAGGTCTGTTCTCCTTGTTTGAAACTTCACAATGACAGAACAGTTTTTATTATGCAAACGCTATAGTTACAGGAGGCATTTTTTGAAGTGAGAAATAGCCTTTGAGTAAAAAGTGCCTTTACCCATTTTGAAGCCAGCTTAACTCTTCAGAGCTTGACAGTTTTGCCTCTTGGCAGCAGAAAAGGTCTCCTGCAAAACAGAGACCTGTACAAAGCATAGCTGATGGGCCAAAACAGATATACGTTCTTTTTCTTCCAAGTGAAGATTCGCAGCAAATAGGATTAAAGCTAATGGTGTTTGACACACCTGGCCTTGATCGTCTAGAACCGTGCAGCTTTAACATGTTGACATTTCCAAAGGTTGTTTTGTCAGCCGAAGTGAAGCCGAAGCAGGAGAGAATGACATATCGGAGGCTGTGGGTATCCACGGTAACAGAGCCACGAGCGATGTGCGTTTTATAAGGCCATCTAGAAAACATTAGCTCCACCAGAGTGTACCGCAAATCAAATATCCTCGAAGCTCAGATGCTGGCTAATGTGAGGATGGCTGCAGGTGAGTGGAGATGAAATGTTCAAGTGGAGCTCGGTGGACTGGATGGACTGAGGGAAAGAAACCCCAAACAGTTTACTTTATCTAATAGCTCACAGGCAACGATTGTCATAACTCAGTCACCCTTTTTTCACACTATAAGATACAGAAAATGGCGATGTGCAGTATAGTGGGATGGCAGCCTGAAAGGTTGCAGGTTCAGACCCAAACCATGATCATTTATGAGCTATTACTGTTGTGTCTTTGATTGGGGTTGATCCAGAAGCAATTGTCCCAGCAAATCTTCGGCAAAAGTTCTTGTCACTCAACTGGTGGAACATTGCATTAGCAATGCCAAGGTAAGGGTTGCCATCCTTTTCCATTAATAATATGATTTAATCTAGGAATAAGGTTTTAACTGTATAGGTTTTTTTTAATTGAGGGTTGTTCGAAATGACAGATTAAACGTTTCTGTACTTTTGTTTGCTAATAGTCCTTCCTAACTGTATCCAGTAGCAGGTCATTGTCTACATTGCTAGTCGCCACGTTTTATAACAGCTAATTTGCATAAAGTTGATTTCTGCTAACATTTATTCAGCGACCTTCACTTATGTCGGCAGAAATAAGAGACTCTGAGAATAAATTACTTTCGGTCACTGCAAATCACAGTCAGTAGCTATGTTTCAAACATGCTAAATTAATTTTGAAAATGAATGTGAAAAATTGGAATATCCCAAATACAATTAGCAAATAAAATGTTTCTGTCCCATGTGTTTAATAGAACAAAATTGTACATTCTGGAGAAATTTGTGCAAAATAGAAGCGGAAATCAGAGTTGTAGACATTGAGGCTCTTTTATTAAATTATTTCTTGCTGTTTTGGTGTTCCGACTTTTTAGGCATCATTGGCAGATGCCTGTCTGGGACTGATAGCATGTCAGACAGTTCTGGGCGATCGTGTAATTATAAATATTGTATCTTTCTTTTTGTTTGATTTTCATTGTAATTGTTTTTTTGTAATTTTTCTATTTTGTAACTGTTTTTTTTTACATGAAGACAGACTCATATGCTGACATGGCATTAAATTCTGTATTACTACATTTTCTGTGATATTTATGAACTGATATTTCAAATTTATTTTGTGACATAGCTTTACTTTTCCATCATTTACTGCAATACATGCACAGATAATTGTTGTTCAAATAATAAATGTTATATTAAATGGCTTAAAGCTAAACGTATTTGCTATTTTTGTCTGCCCACATGAAAAAATACTATAGTAATTTATAGTAAATACTATAGTGTTTTTGAACCATACTATAGTAAAGTGTATACTGTGTATATTATAGTATGAACTGATAAACTGTAATAAATACTGTAGTATAGGCTACTTTAGTTTTTACTACAGTAAACTGTATTGTAGTATAATATACCCTATAGTTGTCGAAAACTTTCAGTATTGGGTAAAGTAATTTGTTTATATTACTATAGTTGTTATATTACCACAGCAACTATAGAATTACCACAACAAATTCAAGTACTTTACTATAGTATGGTTCAAAAACACTATAGTATTTATTATAAATTACTATAGTATTTTTTCATGTGGGACTATTTGTACTATTATACTATTTCTACTACTACTACTTCTGGGTGATAGTAGCCAGTCATCGAAGAAAAATAATTCAGTCACATGACTTGATGCTTGGTGCATATCTAGAAATGTATTCTATAGATGTGCTACGATAGTAGTTTATTCACATGACCTAAAGTGAGCATATACATTTTTAATGGGCATTTTGGAAGTTATAGTCTTGTTTATTAGTGTTTCCATTATCATTTTTATGCAGTATCCCACAGGTCACAATAAAACATGTGGATGGAAAGCAGATTAGAAAAAAAAACATACCTTTATCTTGTTATTGATGTTTGGATTCATACTAGCACAAAAATAAATGTGAATTTACACTGTGACCATTTGTAAAAGGTACTTGATTTAAACACTTTTGATGTTAAATCCAAAGAGTAATAGCCAAAAGTTCCTTAATTTATTAAACCTCAATTTCATTGTATTTTCCACCAAGCATTAAAGTGTCATAGAACATATTCAGAGAAACAGAAGGTAAGAAATTACACTTTTTCTGACATTTGTTTTGTGCAAAAGTGAACCGTCTACAGTCTTTATTAATAATCCTGTGCGAAGGCAGAGTGGGAATCAGCCACCAAGATAGGAGTGTAATTAAATCTACATATGGTTCAACTTGCCACATTTCGCTTGGCATTCAAATTAAACATTGTAAATATGAGATAACAAAAAGAGGTGGGAAGGAGAGGGGGGAGTACATTAGCAACTTAAATGAGATCAAAAACTCTCTTTGCGAGGTAATTGTGAAATCACAAGCTGTGGTAAAATATTGTTGCCAGATGAATTATTATTATTTATTTTTTTTTTTTTTGAAAAATGTGGTCTGCACCCTGAACAACTTGATTGAGAGATTGAAGTGCTAGTTGAAGAAACGAGTTAGTTATGCTACATTTTCTTGTAAGAGGTGCACAGGAAGGAAGCCGAGCAGAGATTTGAATAAATCAGTGAACAAGTGCAATGTGCATTAATATATCAGACAAGAGCATCATAAGACACAGCTAAAAAATCAGAACATGTATTAGCTAATTTTGTAAAAGTGTGCAAGTGGCAATAAAATGGAAGTAGCAACAGAGCATTTATTCCATAATGGCTATGTTCACACTGTCAGTTTTTGGGATTGACAACCGCATTTTCTTTACAGGTGTGAGTCTCGAAATGTCCCGTTCACACAGCAGCTTACAGTTGTGTTTAGAATACTGTGTGTATACTGAGTTCATTCGTCAAATCTTCATTAACCAACAGCAGCTTTTAAATTTGGGTGGAGAGCGGAGAATTTGAATCGCGCGCAGAACACATAGGGAGCGGCTCCGGTGGAAAACTTACGGGATCTAAAAAATTCAGATGACACGCAGCTCATTTCTCCGTCACTGTAAGTTACCGAAACACACATGAAAACACCTAACACACGGTAGACGCGCGTTTGTGCGGCAGAGCGGCTCCCTCTCGCACTGTATGACGTGACCAGGGGCGCGGGAAGATGTTTTCGGTTGGGGGTGCTGTGTGTGTCCGTGTTGGGTAAAATGGTGGGGGGGAGGGGGCTGGTTCACTTACGTCGGTGCTCGTGCTGGGGCTGTTGTTGTTTGGATGCCGATTTTGGAAAGTTTTTGCTGGGATGGGCATTTAAAAAAATCTGAAATTCGCTTTTGCGCCATTATCTCCTTGTATTAAAGTTAATCTTGTTCGCATTCTGTATAGTTCATCTCTGATACCACGCGCTAGCGTCACGTGTTCATGAGGATTAGGCTAATCATCCCATATAGAAAACATCACAAGTAAAATTAATCATGTGATAAACATGGGTTTATTATAGCCCACTTACAATTTACATTTCAGAGATCATTACAAATAAATTATTAAATGCTAAAACTGAATAAATTTAAATGAACAAACTTGGCGTTGCATTTGCAACCATGTGAAAACGGGGTGCTGCAGCCCCCTCAGCACCCCTACTTCCCGTGACAGACAACTAGTTGTCCAGTCCGGTTCCGTTCACACAGCGCGTGTGTTCCGAGAATGCGGTTGTGAGTCCTGAAAATTCACGGGTGTGAGTTCGGTTACAGAATGCGGTTGTCACACCCGTAAATAACCGTTTGAATGTAACCGTATTAAGGACTCAAATACAGGACTGACAACCGTAGGCTATTCTGCTGCTGTGTGAACGTGGCCATTGTGAAGTACATTAGAGTGTAACGGATTACCAAAACAGATTTTAAAAAAGTATGTGTGGAACTTGGTTCAATGCATTGGTTGTTGATTGGATTTTGAGATGTGGGTGTTGCACTCAAAAATGAAGGTAGCCTATAGGCTAGATAAAGGCAAACATGAAAGGGCAAGGTTTAAGTGGGCTAAATGATCGAAGAAGTCCTGCATACTTCACCAGAATGAAGTTTGTTGATTTTACTGAAATATCAAGTTCTGACATTTTGATTTAAAAATTACGAGGTCAAAATTGTTTAAAAGAAAAAAACATATACTGTACATGGATAAATTGTTCACAAAAGGATCTATAACATTAATTTATAAAGTAGTGAATTTTCATTTCATGCTGACTTTAACCCTTGTACTGTGGTCGAAATTCATTACCTGATTTTGATGTTCCCAGTTTAGTGGCCTTTTAAAAACAATTGCTTGTAAATTTCTCGTTTTACTGTATTATGACCAAATCTTGGATTCAATCTTTTTGTCAACTTGTTTTCTTTCAAATAGCAAAGGTGTTGTATTTCTTTTTGGAACAGTATGGTTGTAGGTCATAGGCCTAATTGAAGCTTATGCACCTAAGTTTTTGAGTTAAAAAAGCCATTGTGGATCATTTTGGCAATGTTCACTCAAAAACTGAGGTGCATTAGCTCAGATCAATTAAAGGCCCCATTCCAAAAGAAATACAAAACCTGTGCTAATTGAAAGAAAATAAGTTGATAAAAAAGATTGAATCTAAGATTTGGTAATAATATAGCACAACAAAAAAATTATAAGCATTTTTTGTAGGCTGGGAAAACCACAAGTATAACAAGGAGGGGAAAAAATTGAAACAAAAAAAATCTCTCAAAAAAGTACAAAAATGATCAAACATTTTTGGGAAGTTGTTATATCCTGTGAGAGCAAATTCAGTAAGTTTTAGTCCAATGTGATAACATTAACTTGATGCCTTTCACATTACAGATCAGAGAAGAGAAGAGATGGACCATGTACTTCAGATCATGTACTTTTGAGGGTCCTGGACCATGTGAGACTTTTTTTTTTTTTGCTGTTGCTCTTTCATCCTGGAAGAGAAAAATGTTTATTAAATCAAGTTTTAGGAGTACACCTTCATGGAGGCTTTAAACAATGCAGTGCTGCTGTGCGTAGATTATAAAAGCAGAGACCACAGAGAGACTAACACATTTACAAATTGCAGTCCACTCTCTGATAAGTGCCTCTTGGGTTCCTGAAATATTTCACCACTGCTCCACCATTTGCTTTGAATATTTGAGAGCTTCTCCCGAGACTCTCCAATTAACAACAAACACAGATTTTATGGAAATGCAGGCAACAGATTTGTCTTTGTGGGACATGTTGCCCCCACGTGGATTTTAATCATAGACTTCAAAAGAGCACTAATCCTTCTTTAATGAGAGTGTGGGGTGTAACCTTCAGAGTTGACACTCACAGTGTCAGAAAATAAATTACAGGCTGATGCCTCTGCTTAGGAGATACTCTCATGAGACAGCACTATCATGTTATTTACCAACATTTAGAGACATTAGCATGGAGTTCAAAAGAGGTGTCTTGAATACTACTTAACCTTACATATTATGCATTGTAGGTAGATGTGAGTTTACTAATGCCCAACATGTCATATGTGAGTTTACTAATCCCCAACATGTCATTTCACATGTCATTTCATATGACATTATTATAACCTAGATATACTACAAAAGTCATATATCATAAAATAATGTTATGCAATAATAGTCAATGCTAAACATTTAAACCACCAGGTGGCAGTAGAAGTCTACAGTTAGTAACTTTGGCTTGTAACCATAATGCTCCATGACATGGAATATCACACATAATTACATTTTACAGTGCTTTTCCTGCAATAGAAGTGTGAACTTTTCTGCCATTATTAAAACTGCACTCAATATCCTGTAGTTACAGTTGTCACCTTGGTTTGGTTTAGTGTCCCTGAAGAGGAAAATGATTATTGCTCAGAGGTTGCCATTTCATAGCTCAGAAGAGTTCTTAGATGAGTATAATTTTGTCCTGAAGTTTCTTTGCGGAGATAAAAATCTGTAAAATGAATAAACGCATAGTTCAGATGATTTAGTCTTGGAAGAATGTGATGAGAAATGTTGGAGGTCATATAGAAATATCTGACTTTGGTATCTTAACAAATTTTAGAGGAGATGTGAGATTATGAGGGTCTTTTTTTATAAAGAAAATAAACTGACAAGTAGTCAGTTCAATTGAGTCAAACTCAATCTTAATGCTGTCAAGGAAAAGCAATTGAAATATTAAATAGATCTAATTTATGGTACTTCTTTTTACCTTTGGGCCTTCCAGTGCTTTATGAATGACCTTTTAGCAATAGAAATAATTTCTCAAACATTATTTATTTTGCTTATGATTCTGATGCCAGTGTCATGAATGCATGAATGTGCTCAGATGAACAGGATCTCTCAGAACAGAATTTTCAGTAGCTGGTAGACGAAGCAGGTACAGGAATATGGTGAAGTGGAATGTAATACGATCACTGCTCTCAAAAGCAATATGTGTCAGAGGACAAGAAGATAAAATAAGAGGAAATGAGCATGAAACCATCCCTGTTACATTAAGAGGGGTTTCACAGTTTTATGGATTTTGATTCAGACATCATGTTACTTGTAATTTAGGAAATGGTAGGCCTATTTTTAGTGGCATGTGATGAGCTGGCCCTCTCTCTTTCTAACCACACAAAATTTGTATCTGGCAGTCTGCAAATTATACAATGACTTGCACAGGTGGTGACGTGTTTAAATGGATTTTAACTGTCAAAAAGACAGTGTTTCTGTCTGCTTAAGTTTCTTTCATGCAGTCTCAATATATATATATATATATATATATATATATACATACATACTTTTTTGTGAAAGTTTTTGAACTTCTATCAAAGTAGCCTTTAAAAAATGCAACATGGTTTCCACATAAATATTAAAAAGCGTAACTGATTTTGATATCAGTATAGACATATATATATATG